ATGTTATTCTAATTATAGATTAAACCCTCCTTTAATCTATAGTCTAACTAGCTAATTGTTTCCAAGTCCTCCTGATATCCTCAAACATATTTTTATTACAGTAATAAACCATGGTGATCAGCTGACAAACAATTTGAAGATATGCTTGTGTTCATAGAAGCTTTAGTTCTTTGATGTCTTCAATTTATTTTTATAACTTTAATATACTACGATAAATGTATAAACTACTTTTTATCTTCAGGTAATGCGAACAAGGTAATTCTTTCATTTTTATAAGAGGATTTTTTTTAATTCATACATTTACAGCCAGTCATAACATATTGACCGAAACTGGCAACAGGTATTGTAATAGATGACAAGTCAACTTGCAGTGTCCAAAGTCATTGATAGTACATTTTTAATTTATAAACCAAAAGATACAGGTATCATAAAATATATCGGCTTAAGCCAAATATACTCTCTTCTTCTCTAAGCCGAAACATGTGTTTCCTTTCTCAACACTTAACGGATTAAGTGGGATGTGGAAATTGTGTGGCTTATTTATGACATGTTCACATCCATATAGAACATAAAATCACTTTTAGATGTGCTTGGATGTAGTTAAATTACTGGGGAGATATAAGATTTGAAATATGTAACATGTGAGCTACATCTTATAAGATGTAGCTCACAAGATGTGATGTGTGTGTGTTTGAATTTCGCTAATAAATCCGTCAAAGGAATTCAACTAAACCTTCTCTAAATGCATTGCCTAAAGGAGAAATATAATTGGTTATATCTTTTTTAACGTAGAAAACTTTGGAAGTATTGAAAAATTTTTAGAAATAACACCATTATTGTAATTTCATTAATTTGAAAGATTCGAAAGGTTTGAATTTTCATACTTCAAAAGCTGTTTCATGTCATAGCAAACGTCCCCTGTTAAAGAGTATGGGCTAAGTTGTATACTTAGTATGGCTAAGCTATGAAGTGAGTGAATCAAAACCATAAACTAAAAAGTCAATTACTACCTATAGCAGACGTATTTTCACTCTCTCCATGAAATTTTTTAACAAACTCTGTCATCGTAAAAGTATTCTATTCCAAGACCATTGACAGAACCATACATAGAGTAACAAGATTTTCACATAGAGAAAGTACAGAGTCAATCGAACACATGAGGTGGCTTTGGTTAAACGTGGCTGAAATTGGCAAGCCTTTGTTGACAGTTTATCTTTGTTAAAGTCCCCTTACTCTACTAAAGTATTTGTTTGTAAGAGAATTGTCAGCAACTTTTCATTCGTTCTTTTGAACTACGTTGAATACGTTTTCGGCCCATTAATATTAAATATATATTTTTAGTAGTGTTTGGATGTTGTCTAAATTTATTTAATTGATATAAATTTAACGTTAGCATGGATATAGACAAATTTTACTGAAGTAGAGATTCCATTGCTATGTCAACGCATAGCAGAGTTAAATGCAGGAGACTCTTATTTAATTTGGCTGGTATAGTGAACAGCTGTAAGATACTTTTACTTTCTGGCTATACCATACTCCAGGGGAGAAAGTATTGTTTTCGTCAAAATTTTCGAGTTTGAGTTTAGAGTGGATATATTCGTTTTGGGTCCCCCTGGACCCAAAAAAGTGGACCCATAAAAAACCGGAAAAATCGGATTTTCTCAAAAATGGCCCGAACGATTTTGATAAAAATTTAGTATGTTGTAGCCCTTTAAATTCTAAACAAAATGGTACAAATCCCATTTCTGTAAAAATTACGGTTCAAAGTTATAGTAAATTATGTTATTTTCCCATAAAAACCCCATAAAATAACGAAAAATAGGATTTTAGACAAAAATCCGGTTTTGATTTAACATTGTATGTTATGGTCCTTACAATTTTGATAGTTTTTTTCATTTTTTAGAAATTTTTATTTTTAATGGGGATTTTCCCATAAAAACCCATAAAATAACGGAAAAATAGGATTTTCCCAAAAATGGCCCAAAAGATTTTGAAAAAAAAAATAGTATGTTATAGTCCTTTATATTCTGAACAAAATGGTACAAATCCCATTTCTGTAAAAATTACGGTTCAAAAGTTATTGTAAATTATGTTATTTTCCCATAAAACCCCCATAAAATAACGGAATATCAGATTTTCCCAAAATAAGCTCGAACGATTTTGATAAAAATTTAGTATGTTATAGTCCTTTAAATTCTGAAGAAAATTGTACAAATCCCATTTCCGTATATTTACTCTCACCGCTTATACATGATAAAGGTTGTTGACAAACTTATGGGAGAAAGTATGTGTCAGAATGCTGATACCGTTTATTTTCCTTTCTTATACATCCTCTAATCTGAAAAGTTGTAAGCTACAGAGGTTTTTGTTTTCATCAACTATAAAGTCTAATAGAAAATAAAATGCAGCATACTTTATTTTCTATGAGAGGATAATTTCAATTTAATTCTCTTTGAGTAATACTCTAACTACAGATGGTCCATATATAAGTTATAATCTTCTTCAGAATTTAGAATCAATGGTAATAACAAATTACGAAAACTCCTGTAACCCCTTTAAATGGTAACCTACTTGAGCTATTAAACATTGATAATGTTTTTGTCAATAATAATTTCTTTTTTATAATCATCCATTTTTGTCATAACACCTCAAACCTTTTAAATTTTAGTTCATGGACGTTTCCTAGCTAAGTGTTTTGACTAGGACGTTTCGTGATGTAAGAAAACTCCTCCAGTTTGCAAGCGGCTATTAATTTACTTTCACCAAACAACCCAGTATAATATAACCTACCTAAAGTTTTTTTTACAAAGAATCTTTTTTGCTCCCAAATGTAGTGTAGTCAAAACACTTGGAGTAGGAAAAGTCCATGAACTAAAATTAAAACAGTTATATGAACTATAAAAACACAGTACCTCATACGATGGTTTTTGAGCTTATTTTGTTGATTTAAGACCCACCCTGAGTCAAGACGTAGAGTAACCTTGGAATAAATCTCTAAACAAAATTGACTTTTCAAACGGATGCAATCACTGAGCAGTGATAGAAGGTGGGGAAACAGATTAACTTTCTGTCTCGTCAATTCTCTTTAAGCTCCTGTTATTTACATAGCGTTTAAATAGGAGGAAATAATTTCAATAGATATTGTTAGCATGAAGATAATTTATTACAATTTCATTTTAGCTTAGTTTCATTTTAAATATTTAATAGATAGATATATCTATTTTACTTACATCATAGATCTATGTAGGAGTAGGACAAACTTGTTATGTTATCAAAAGTGACAGTGCGATCTTAACTTTTAAAACAAGAATGGAAAGAAGTTTTTTTAACACTATGAGACAGATGTTAACAAATTAATCAATAATAATACAATCAGTTGTTTTTGGATTGATATCTTACCTGATGCACGAAAGTAGCAATTTGTTGGCTGGGGGGCGCAAAATCTAAGTTTTCGTACTATGAATCAGCTGTTATTTATAATCAGCTGCTATTTATAATCAGCTGTTATTTAACAAGTTTTAATATTCACTTACTAATTGCATTGTTGTCGTTACCTAGCAACCAAAACATTACAATTTAAATTGTTTTACTATTTTGATGTTTTGTTTATTGATTTGGCATTATGAAGAATATGTTTTTTTTCTTTTGAGTAATTATCTGTTTTCTCATTTTTGAATGTGATAGCTGCCTAAAAGGTTAATTTTATAGTCTCGACGGCTGGTGAATCATATCTTTATGTACGCTATAATATGCCAAGTATTTTATAACTATTATTTTGACCACTTATAATTTTAATTGTGTAAATGTAATTATTAGTAGTTTTAAGTGTATGCCACCATAATACTGTGTAGTAAAACTAATGTACATATAGAGAGGTTCCTTATCACAGTTATGTTTTGTAACAATATTCTGTGGACTTTTAAAATATTTTCGTATACATTTTATTATGATATTGTATGTACCGTATATAGATTATCTTATTACGAAAACTAAAATACTATAGTAATTATTATAGGACTACGACTAGACACCAATAAATAATTTCATCTTATGCAAGAAACTATAACAAAACTTTATATTTTGTATCTAGTTCAAACAGTTGCGTCGTTCTGAACTACTCTCAGCAAAATGCAAGTAATAAAACAAATTAAATCATTACTAGTGTACATGTTGCTCGAATTCGAGCAATTCTAAAGCATTACAGGAGTTATTTCAAAAAGAATAACAGTCATATTTACAATGAGTTTAAAATAATCAACTCAAAGATCACCGGTGTGTAACTCAAACTATGTTTATCTTCGTTATTGATAAACCTAAAGCATTCCGGCCGGTTTTCTCCTTCTCAAAATGCCTCGCTGTACAGGCAACACAGGTCATTGATAGAGGGCCAATTGAGAACGAAAAGTCGTTTTGGGGTAGTATTAAGGCCGGCGCATTTTTAACCTAATAGTTGAGATTGTCCAGGGTCAGGTAGCTGCGGTCGTTATCACGATTGCGCCTCCTGTCTGTTTCGTTGTCGTCACGTCGGAGGCATTTAAAAGAAAAAAAAACAACAAATTATAGCTACACAAAACAACGATAAATGCACAAATTTAAGTTACAATCATGCTAACACGATCCGTCATAGCGACACAAAACAACGATAAATACACAAATTTAAGATACAACCATACTAACACGATCCGTCTTGGGGGTTATGTTTATACAAACTCAAATAGTAAATAAATGTACTCAATGCGTTTCATAGGATTGAAAAATAAATAACAGCAATTAAATTATACAGCTGATCAAAATGTAAACAATTATGTTCTTCATAAGGATAACATGGGAACTTTAACAGCCACTGGGGCAAAGCCCAAGGGACTTTTTCAAAAAAGTAAGGCCAGTTTGCAAATCTACGCGACACGCTCTTTCCAATGAGACGTCAATGGATAAAATCGGTTAAGAAATGGCGGAGGAGTTCAACCGACAAAGTTTCATGTAGCGTATTAATTATATAGATAAAATAATACGTATAACATGTGCTTGGGTAGCTTTAGTCAATTTAATCTGAAATGTCTCATTTACCGTGATTGTTATCACTTCATACGTTTTTAACCAACTCAACCTTTCTTAGGTTGACTGTCCATGACTGCAGTAGGCCTATGTCCATTGTACGTAAGCCTCTTTATGTGGCAATATAACAATAATCTGTGTAATGAGTATCTAAGCCAATTATTCATAAGACTCTAGACACGACACACAACACCTACTTTAACTCTCTCTATTACATATACTTCATAAATACTATACATACGTCGTAAATGTTTGTGAATGCTCAATAAACAGATGTTGACAAACATTTCACTCACTCACAATGCGCACTCAATCACAAATTAATTATCACAGTTTAAAATATGTCAATTATCACACAGTCACCTCCAAACGAGTACGAGAACTGAAAGTGTCAATATGGTCAACGATGTATTAACAGTCACACCTCTTGAAGCCGGCAATTCTTTTTGGATGACGACAGGAATGGCCGTGGTGGTAGTGGTGGATTCTTCAGTTGCAGGAGGTTCGTGTGAACCACTGCCTTCTAGGTTGTCCAGGATGTCTTCGTCGTCAGATGGAGGCAGTGATCTAGGAGGAGGTGCGTTACACAGTTCCCCCATACAATAGCAGTACTCAACCCCATTGGCCCATCTGCAAGCGTCTACCGCAAGCTGGGCACAGGTCCTCATCACTTGGTCTCCTAGAAATGATTTTGTATTTTAAAATAGTGTTTAAGTAGTTTAACTGACAATATTAATTTACGATTGTAGGGCCATTCTTAAAGTTATAGCTCCTGAAAAGACCAAAAACAATGAATATCAAGGACAGGTGTCAAATTTTGATTAATTAAAAAGTAAGTCAAGGCTATTCTAGAACTCGGCAAGGGTAATACCTCGAGACAAATTATATCAAAACAGACCTAGACAAATTGTTGGTTTAGCCATCCAGAAAAAAATACCTCATAGCACACTTGTTATCCTAGGTGAGCTGGAAATTAAAGAATGTTTCTGTAAAATCCATTTGCTAATTTAAAACAAAGGAAAATTGAAAGTGAACTATTCTAGTTGTAGTAAACTATTTATGAAAATAGAACATATTTGACGAGCCACTCACATAATGTGCTACTGAGAGAATATATTTGCCTTTCTTGGTTTTCTATGTACTATGATGATTGATGTAACACTAAAGATGCTTTAGTTTACAGAAAGTCCTTTAAGTTTGGTTTGGCAAGTTTGTGTCCTAAGCAGAACTCAGTAATTGAACAGTTGTCAGAGGCTCAATCAAACTTGTACATATATTTTTATTACAAAATAGGCTACATGTGAATGGAATATACTACTCGAATATCCATTTCAAGATGCTACAGAAGTTGACTTTGTAATATTGTAGCTAAATCTCCGTTGTTACCTTTGCTCTGGGTGAGGCATCCCCTGTAGTTGTCGGGACAGACCATAATCTCACTGGAGCGAGTACAAGACTCCAGCTTGGCCCCGGGGAACACCCTGTCTATCTCGACGTCCGAGGCGGTCTCTGACAGACACACGTGGCATCGGTGATGCTGGGTGTCCCCGTTGGCTCCTGGAAAAGAACAACATTTGTCTGAGTACAATCGTCATTTATCAAAGTGCTCTCCTCCATCAGACGTGTATGCTCCCAGCGAGCAGGAACTTCCTTAGAAGTGGCGCAAGTCGCCACAGTCAACAAGGCTTGAACTTGGGCTGTGCTCTCCTCATAATCAGATGGTACCAGCTTGATACAAGAAACATTAACTGCCTAAACCTAAATGCACGGAAGGTTGCCTATATTTAATCGTTTCCTTTGACCAGCCACGAGATTACGTTACCAAATGTTGTTGTCCCATTATTTATGTGTTTGAATTTGAGTTGATGCTGAGGCAGGTCTCCGTTGCTCCAGGCAACAGACGATTTCAGGTTGATTATAATTATCAAATTCGATTTATGTGGCCTCCTAATAGCCAGAAGTTAGCAATAAAATATAAGAAACATATAAACGCCTGAAAAGTTGTCACAAATGGTTTTGTTTGAGCAGCCACGAAATCGTGTTTTAAAACACTATTTAAGCGAGTTGTGTACACTACTAAACCTACGAAAGTATAACCTCTTATTGCCACTGACAGTGATGCAACGGAAATTGATGTTTTATTTTTTTTTATTTTAGTGATATCGTGAGATTTTAATATGGAGCTATACAACTCCGAAGCTAGTCTAATAAATAGATAGCGAATTGGCTTAGAGAAACTAACGGAATCTGTGCTATGACTCATAAGCTATTTATGGTTAAATTTGGTTATCTATGGTTAAAGATTATTTCATTACCAGCCCCCCAAAAAAGCTGACAATATAAGCTGTTATTTTTTAACTTTAAGTTATTTTATAACTTTTTGTTATCAACAGTTACAAACTTATACAAGTTTTTCTTTCTATGAACTAATTGCACATTTTTTTTATGAGGGAACACCAACCTAATTAGATTAAAAAATTCACCTCTTAAGTAATGCTGAATATGTGATTTCTACATATAAAAAGAGTAAATTTATACAGGTCACCAATCTTTTTAAATTAAATAATCACTCGCAATCATAAACTTTACTACACAAAACAAATTTATGCTAGATTCCAATCAACAATTCGCAGCTAAACCACTAAAACAATGACAAACTTGGACAAAAGCAGGGCAGCCAACTGTCGTTTCTTACGATCTATTCATAGTGAACTGTCAACATCTGAACAGTTGGTAGCATCTGAAGGGTGAAATGTGTCCAAACCACAACACAGCTGTGAGCTCTAGAAGTCTTGATTGCGGCTTGTGTTGCTAGTTTAACCACGTAATCTACAATAAACTATAATATTGTACTTGAAATATTATAGTTATAGTTATAACCATTATAGATCAGTTGAAGGTATTTCGGTCCGGTTAAAGTGAGTGTGTTTTGATGTTTACGATTGTCGTTTGCTATTTATTGTTAATCTTCACAAACTATTTCAATCAAATAACTTATTTTTACTAGTGGACCTGTTGCTCGAATTCGAGCAATTGCAAAGTATTACAGGCGTTATTTCAAAACGAATAACCCTAACAGTAATAATTTCCGATGTAAAAGAGTCAACTCCAAGATAATGTAATCAATCACTGCACTCCAGTTAATCGAAACTGAAAAAGAACGCTTTTGTGTGTATCATGTGTTCACTATGAACAGCTGTAATTAATAAAAATTATTCTTCTGTTTAAGTAAACAAAATATTTTCTTCATAAGAAATACATTGGAATTTTGATGGCCTGTGGGGCAAAGCCCGAGGACTTTTATTACAGGAATTGGTGAAAGGGGGCGTCTACACAAAAAATACTTTATTTTGACTCGTCGTTTTTCTTTAAATCCGTTCATAATTAACGGAGGTGAGTGTTTCGTAGAACTCTCTTTCACGTATTATATATAAGGATTAATTTGTGTTGTACAACAAAATCATAATCAAAGCGTTGTCATTATTAGCACGTTGAAAAATTGCTGTAATATGAGAGTAAAATTTCACCTGGGTAATTTATCTTTTTTATCTTTTAGGTAAACATACCTACAGCTCATAGTGGGTTTCGAACCATTGGATGATGCAAATATTATTAAGTCATTGGTGACTAGCAGGGTTTGAACCGATATCTACAGGATAAAAGTATCCTTACCAACATATAAGTCGCTCCCCAAACCACACTAAAATATCACAACACAAAAAATATTTAATTCATAGTAATATACAATTTAATCCCATGAATATGTTTTAGCTACAAAAGTTCCATACAGTCTAGGAGGAAGAAAGAAAATGTCTTTTGTGGGAATATAGGACCTGTTTCTTCCCCAGAGCAAATTGAGGGTTATTCTTAAGTAATTGAACTCCTTTAGGGAACAGAGAAATCGGGGATTCAGGACCGAAAATTAAAAATAATGGAATTGAAGAATTTTCACTTGTAATGACCGAAGGTTAGACATATATTGTTATGTTAAAGACGAGTTGGACCAAGTCCAAATGAAAGCGCGCCAACAAAAGCAAATGAAAAGTAATCTGTTGTCACTGAGAGTTTATGGCTCTGGATTTCTTTCTTCCAATTTGAAATCGATTACAACTTTGTATTCGACTTTGTAAAAAAAAATGTATTTTACATATTGACAAAATATACTATCTACAGTTCATTTTCGATATACGTAATACTGTATAAGTAGTTTTTGGCTGAAAGTAAGACTACATGAGTGACTGTAAAGGGAATATTAAGTGACAACGGTGTTGAGTTTGATAATGGTATTTTGAGACAAATATTATAGCATCATGGGATCAATCATTCTAGAGGTATTATACAGGATGTCCCGTAACTCTCTGGACACATTATATAGCGTTATTGCTTAGGAAGACAAACACATTTCACCATAGGAACATGGGTCTGTGGTGTCTAGTTTACCGACTGTCGGCATTTATGCGTTTTTTTACTAAACCATATAATAACTCCTAAACGGTTTGAGATACAGCGTTGAAATTTTGCAGAAATTTTAGTCTTATTAAGGCTTATCTTTGTTTAAAATTATACTAAAAAATCATTAACCGTTTCAAAATAGCAGCCATTTAAAATATTTGATGCCAAATTAACGGTTTTCGTACTAATACTCCTTTTACGTGGTTTAGCATTGTTTAAATGAAGAAAAGTAGTCATGCATTTGTAAAAGAAGACATTTCTCTATTATTATTTATGTATTCTTAACAAATAAGGTATCATTGAAAACTACATAAAATTTACTAACTTTTTTGTCTCTTGCAATTTTTCGTCAATTTAACGGTTTTCGTGAAATTTGGCATCAAATATTTTAAATGGCTGCCATTTTGAAACGGTTAATGATTTTTTAGTATAATTTTAAAAAAAGATAAGCCTTAATAAGATAAACATTTCTGCAAAATCTCAACGTTTTATCTCAAACCGTATAGGAGTTATTATTGTAATAAAACATAAAAGCAGACAGTCGGTAAACTAGACACCACAGACCCATGTTCCTATGGTGAAATATGTTTGTCTTCACCTAAGCAATAACGTTATATACATGTGTCCAGAGAGTTACAGGACACCCTGTATAGGGTAGTTATATCGCTAAAATAAAAATATGCGTTGATGACTTTTGTTCGCAACAGATGTATGGTCACGATTGATTGTAATCGTTATAACAATGTTATAACCCTAGTATTTATAACATATAATTAATTGTTCCAAAAAGAAAAAAATATATTGTGTTTTTATGTAGTTAGGGTAAACCAAAGTTAACAGTTATCAACATGTTTTCAACTATTTAAAATGTTTGGAAACACCTCGTAACACCTAAACCAATTACCTCAGTTCTTTTTACTTAATATTTCAGGCTAAGCATCGCATTGTATCAAGTAACCAATGATTAATTAATCAAATGACTTCAGTAAGTGCCTAAATATATATATTATTTAATTTGTTGGTGGAAAACTAGAATATATCAATTGTTTACCACGCTCAACTTTTAGGTAGCCTAGTCCCAGCTAAATAGAACCTATAGTTGAATAATCTTATCGTTGTACTATTTATTAAAGATCAGATTTAAAAAAATTCCATACTGCACGTAGGTTTATTCAGTTGTGATTAGGACATAAAGGGAGTTATAGTTTACAAAACGTTACTTTTGCAGTTTAACATATCAAAAGGTTTATATACAAACAAAGCGTCATTTCATAGACACACACTGTGTTGGAGGCTAAAAATTCTTAAGTTCAAAGTTCTCTTCATTCTAAGACTAACTTCAATTTTAACTTGGTAATTAAATTATTACTTTACTGTAGTGTGATATATTCAATGTGAAAAGTTGTTAATTATAAACGTCACAATAAACAACCCGTCATATGTTTACAAGGACGTGTTGAACAAGCAATTAATGTCCCGTGAACAACAGGAGATGAGAAAAGAGAAAATGAGAAATAGAGAAACAGACAAGACATGTTAGCTGTCTCGGGCTGGCATTCAACGTCAAAACACACGCAACTATTTGCAATGTTATGCAGTGACGTAGCCTTCTGGTCTTAAATATAATATTTTTTTGTTAAATTAAATGTAAAATTATAAAATCATACTGTATTGACGTTGGGGCTGATTATTTTCAATGCCAAGAGAGCTAAAAAGACCGATTTAGGGCCTATATTTTTAAAAATTTTCCCGGACCCCCCCTTTTACCTGGGGGACCAGAACCCCCGGTCGGTCGACCCCCCCTATTTTGAAATCCTGACTACGTCACTGTGTTATGGAAGTCGAGAATGTTATAGTTTATATTTTACTTCAAATAATTAAATGTTTGGGTGTTGATTTTCTTTTACAGTATTACCGATAAATCTTCAATTGTGTTTTTTCTTAATAAAAAATAATGTGATTTGAAAAGTTGTGATATCGCAGAAAAAAATCTTGCTTATAATTTACTATTGAAAACAGTTGCAACCTACAAAAATCATGGTGATGTTTCATGTAAAAAATCAGTCCAGTAGTACTTGCGCCCCAAAGAAACCAACAAACACACA